ACGCGAGGTAATTGTTGAACACCTCCACCACATCACTGGGCTCCGTCAGAACTTTGCCATCCTCTACTAATGTAACGCTGTTCTGTTTGGACAGGGACAAGTTCAGGCTTCATTTTTTTTCAGAACTCTCCAGGGTGTTTTACATTAGATGTTGCATTACTACAAAATTCCTCGATGCCCTTTCTCTTTAGCAAGGTGACTTTATTACCCTGTTGCTTTTGGCTCTTCCTGTGGCGTTTTAACAGCCAATTGCACCGGGCAATTTCCTGTTGAATTTCAGGTGAGATCCAGGGTAATTGATCCTTGCACACCCATCTTTTCTCGACCGGCGCATGCTTGTTCTTATAGAGAGCGCTCCAGTGACCCCAAATATCGTCCACAAGCGAGAAACGATATGCTGTGTCCCATGGCGCGTTTTTTAACGTTTTTTAGCGTAGAAGTTTATTTTTCCTAGCGACAAAGACTAGATCGTCATCGCATAAACCATGTTGCAAGTTACCCGAAGTTATTTAGCGTTCTGCGTGACTGACCAGAATAACATCAAGGAGGCTCTTTGTTCTATCTATTACCCGTGTGGGCTCAGTTATTTTGTTTACGGAGCAAAACCGATGAAAAAAATCAACTAGGTTTTCTATTAATAAGTCGATTTTCAGCAAAGTTTGTGTACATATCTTGGTTAAAATCCCCGATCAAAAGGGGTTCCTTTTGGGTTTTATACATTAAAGCCATAAATTCTAACTCATTGCATTTTTCTGGTGATCTGTAGCAGCCGCATACAAGAAAGCGGCTATTGTTAACGTCCTTGACATCTAAATGTATCAATTCCACGTCCCTAGGTTCAAGCTTAGCTCTTCGGTACACAGACAAATCAGCTCTGATATACTCCAAGAGTCCTCCGCAGCCTTTCTTTCGGTCTCTGTGTACGAGCCTAAAGCCAGGTTGGGCGAGTAGTGTTGTAGAGGTCGTAGAGTCAATTTTAGATGTGAATAAAATATCAAACATTCCTTTTCCAAGCATCTCTTTCACTTCATCGATTTTGTTGGTGATGCCGTTGATATTCAAGTAGACTAATTTTAGATTAAACTTGTAGTATCCACAAACATTAGCCATGTACCCGGATAACAAGTCCGTGTCTGAGTCATTCATGCTAGTTTCATTTCCATTTACCATGCTTGGTGTGGTGTCCGAAATACAGGGTCTAGGGGCGTCCATAAAATCCTCAGCTCTCAGTTGCGGCAATGAACACAAAGAGCAGGTGCAGTCAATTTCAGGACTGCCAAGGTAATAATGAAAAATTCCTCTTGACATTTGGAGACATTTAGCATGTGACCAACAAGAGCATTTCGAACACTCCTTGCAAGGAAATTTTGGAGGCATAGTTTTATGAGCAGGACCCGGATTGCTATGAACATTTCTACATAGAGCCAGACGGCTCACTTGAAAGCTGCTAGGGCTCTTGGCACTGTGTGCAATTCTGACATTCAGGCAGTTGCCTTGGCCGTGTTTCGTGCCAGATCGAACAGCGATTTCAAACTGAGCTTTACGGTTGGAAAACGCAGGAATGCTTACACCAACGCTCCCGTCGAAAGGTAATTGGGTACATGGCTGACGCGGGAGAGTGGTTCTCACAGAGAAAACGTTGAAATGGCTGAGAAATGGAGCTAAAATATAGCAGCTCAGAAAAGTGTGGCTGGCCGCCATTATGCAGAAGTGGAACCTTACTGACTCTTTACATCTGTTAGAGCTCGGCTTGTGTAGGCTACAACTTTCCGCTATTCCGATGCAGGATCAGTTTAAGCGAGGATTGCGCCTAGACCTACGGGACTTGCATCGACGACGATCTTGGTGTATTTTTCTGGGTCAAAGTATGTGGTAACAGGTGCGTTGGTGAGTGCTTCTTTGAGTTGATGTAGGGCGCAGTTGTGACTCTCAGTCCAGAGCCAAGGTGTATCTTTCTGTGTCAGCCCCCGTAAAGGTTGAGTGATAGTGGCGTATCCCTTGATAGGTCGAGAGAAGTGATTCGCCATGCTGAGCTTCGGTAGCGTTGGTTGGCGGCTGTAGGTCGAGGATTGTGTCAACTTTCTCCGGGTCCGCTGAGACCCCTTTGCTAAAAAATATGTATCTGAAGAACTTTAGGCTGTCCGAGTACGCACATTGTCTTTGTGCAAGGTGAGCCCTTTCTCGCGTAGACCTTGGAAGGTGTTCCTCAGGGCTTGGCCGTGTTCCTCAGTTGTCCTTACACACACTAGGATATCGTCGCCGAGGTTGACTATGATATGCGGTAGAGATCCTCCGGTGCCTTTGGTGATGTAAATAGTCTCCTGCATCACCTTGCCATTCTTAGGGACGATGTTCGCTTGGAACTTTCCCAGCATCTTTAGGAGCATGTCGGATTTGCAGGGATATACTCTTGTAGATGTAGGTAGGAGTATTGGGTGGTCAACAAAGTCCTTAGAGTCCTTTTATCGCGCAGGTTGATGCTCGATCGGGAGTCCGCCAGAATATTGAACCACGCCCCTTTGATTTTCACTTGGAACTGTGGGTGTTTAGCTCTGTTGTCGTTGATGCTTCGCCCGCGAAGTCTGAACGTATGTTTGTCCTCACTGTCGTAATTGTCGTTGAGGGTTTAAACCTTTTTTGGTGCTTCCTTTTGTGCCAAAGACTTTGCTTGTTGTCAAGTGTTACGATACACTGACTTGAAGTGTCCGATTCTCCAGTAGCCATGGCATTCTTTTTTATACACTGGGCAGGCTGTTTGACCTCCCTTGTGTGGGTATGTTCCAGAACAACAGCCACAAATTGTTGATTTTGATTCATTCCGTGGTGGTCCGCAGTCCTTTAGCGTAGGAGTTCCGGTCCATGATTTCTCTGGACGTGTCTCCTGGCCTTTGTGTACATAGTTGATATCGTGTCTCTCAAGGCTAGCTGCTTGAATCTCAGTTATTTCGAGGGTTTTGCCGTACTCCAGTATGTTTTTTAGTGTTGTGGTTGGCTTGCTGAGGGCTTTTCTTCGCACTTTTGAAAATGTACAATGCTGAATTATTTGAGATTTGATCTCGCGATCAGTGTCTGTGAATTTGCATGTCTTTGCTAGTTGTACTAGACGAGTGTTGTGCGTCATAATTTGCTCGGCAGGATTTTGTTTCGCTTCTCTAAATTGGTATTCTTCAAAGGCCAAATTCTTTTTTGGCTCAAAGTAGTTCGTGAGAGCGGTTACAGCTTTCTTTAGGGAGAGTGTCAAAGGTATCGTTAACTGCCTCACCAGTGTAATGAAGCAGCAATGCATGCTGCCTTAAATTGTCCGTGACATTTAAAGCCACAATTAGGTTTCAAAATCGCGATAGATATTTCTTCCAGTGAGGAGCAGGGGTTCATGACTCGTCTGACAGATCAAATGCAGGGAAAAAAAGGTAGGTTTGAGGCCATGGCGGGTTTGTTTAGCTCGTCGCCAATGTGGTGGTTTTTGATCCTCGTTTTATTCCTAGAACTCTCGTCTTATCCATTACATCGCATCACATGACTTAGGCAAGCCTGCAAATAATTCTTGTCTATTAGCAGGTCATTTGTCATGCCAAGGACAAATTTTGACCGGACAAAAAGCCAGAGTGGTCGGACAAAAATTTTTTTTTAGAAATTTAAAAAAAGAGACGTTTACATCATTTTCTTTCGGTATTTCAGTACAGATCCTTCCAGTTCCTTTTTGGAGAAGGATTTGTTACATCTTGCAATGATATTAATCAACTAAAATTAAGAAAGTTTTTGTTTTATGGAGAGTCAGACTGTGTCTATATCTTCCTCTTCATTTCTGAAGAGAGTCTCTGTACACGTTCCTGTGCTGTGGGTTTGTTCGTCTTCTCTTTGCTTTATTCCATTTCTGGACAGCTGTTGAGGGGTCATAGCCCTCTATTGAGGGTCGTTCAGCTAGGATTCTCAAGAGATCCTGAAGAGTTCCCTGAGAGAGAGAGGATTTCTTGGCTGTCTTCACCCTTTCAAAGTTGCCAAACATTCTCTCCAAGGCTGTATTAGATAACAGGAAGAGTAAAGAGTTAACGGATTAACAACAGAATGTTTGGCATTCCAAAGCTCTTGAAGAGTGGAAATCTTGTACCATGTTGCTCTATAATAGCGAGAGGAGGGTGACAAATATTGCACTGCGTAGTCAAGCATGTCATGCCATTCACTGACCACTTGCAGCTATGATGCTTGCAGTCCGTGTTGTTGGAGGGGTTCTTGGAAGTGGCTAACATAGTGTAAAATGACTTCATCCATTGACTCATTTCTACTGCTTCTGTAATCCCAAGCTTCACAGTTCAAGATGGAGGAAATGGAGGCAATGTCAGTGCTACCACCAGGGCGAGCTTCCATTGCATCAGTCAACAAATTTACATAGTAGGTAGCATGTTCGCTTAAATCTGCAATGGCATCTGTAAAAGGTAGAAGCTCTTCACCTTGATATTCTTCGTTCTCCACCCTGTCTAGGTAGTGTCTAACCATTTGGAGCTTGTGCACTTCTTTGTGCCTAAGACTGTCAAGCTCTTTCTTCATTGTGGACATTGCAAAAGAAACTGTTACTGCATCAACATCTTCAGCCTGAAACGCCTGCGACAGAACGGCAGCTGGCTGTAATAAATCCAAAAAGAAGCAAGCATAAACAAATAGTTTACCACTTTTCCATTTTCTTAGGTAACCTTTCAATTTTGCCTGATCACTTGACTTCAATGTTTTATCAGAGCTAAGTGTTTCCAAGTGCTGATTAAATAACCAAATTCGTCAACAAAAACTTTTAACGCTGACAGTGTGGCAAATCCACCCAGTGACACTGGCTCTCTTTGGCTTTGCAGAGCCTTCTAGAGATGGAAAAGTCCTCTTGTAAGCTAGGTGGATGTCATAAAGGCCACTAGTTTTCTTTGGGTTGTTCTCGTACAGGTTATACAATCTCAACAATACTTCATCAACCTCTTTGAAATAATAAGAGCTAAGGGCATCTTTTAGGGCTACCTCTAAGCAATGAGCCACACACCATGAAAACAGGAACCAAGGAAATTCTTGTTTAAAAGGTTCTTGCACACCACTGCTTGCCCCTCTGTTTGTACTACACCCATTCCCTCCAAGGCCAATGGGAACAGGGGGAATCCCTCCTCATGTAGAAGTCCCGTGTTTTCAAGTGATCTCTTGATTCCAGCCAGTACTCCCTGGGCATCCCAACTTGTCAAATTCTCTATCGATAGAAACCCATCTTCACTTTGACCATTGGCTCCAATTCATTACTAGACTGATGCTCAGCTGGGGGAGGGTCGAAGTAAAGGACGATTACTGCCTCCTGTTCGATGACTGTGTTGTCAGTGGTTGAGTCAAACAGGATGCTATAGAACTTTGATTCACCTACATCTTCTCTTAACTTGGTAAGAACTTCGTTTGCCTGAAATGAAATAGACTCTGTTGCTGCTGTCCTGTTACAGTACATTGAGCCGTGTGACACACCGTGCCTTTTCTCCAAAGCAATGAGTTTTTCGTATTTTGCAAGTGGCAGTTCTTCTTTGACGATAAAGTAAGATATGTCAAACTATTTTTAGATCTTCCATCTGATGGGGATTAAGATTAAACTCCAACTTCGGTTGATTTTGCTGATTACCGTTGCTTGCAGCAGATGGAGGTTGACCTTGCTGCTTATTGCAGAGAGAAAGGGCTATTTTGTGAAAATCAGATTTGGCACGGTCTACCAAGTTTGTAAGTCTAAAGTTGGTTGGTTGAGCCATCGACAGAGGCTCTTGAGAACTTGAGTTGTTTTTAATCACGGATTCAAACTGACTACATACTTTGCATTTCAGTGCAATACAATAATGTTCCCTCTTAGTTTTCTCGCTATCATAGGTAAGCCAGGATCCCGCTTCGTACCGTGCCAGGTCTTGGGTTTTCCACCTTTCCACTGTAGAACAGGTGAGTTTTCTTGATGTTATCTTAGCAGAGCCAGGCTTCACTGCAGCTTCAAAGTTACCCTGATTGGCATCCATCTTTTTCGCACTGACACCTTTCAAGCCGGCTTCTACATAGCTCCCTGGTTTCATCTCATCGTTTGGTCTTTTGATTGATTTTTGGGGCAGTCCCTCAACCCTTGAAAAAACTGGTAATGATCCCCTTGGCACGCCTTTTCTTTACAGGGAAGGTTTGCTTCCAGTCACACCTTGACAAGTGCTAGGGATTCTTGATCTGTTGCATGAGGCACTCTGAAAATGAGATTGAAATGGTTCGGATGGTACCACCTTCCAGGTGTTGAATCTAGAGCGCCATCGCGTGACCACATGATGTAAACAGTGTCTTGTGCCTCCTGAATCAAAATGCGTGGGAGGATTTTTCTGTGGAGAAACTCTTTTTCTCGAAGCACTGTTTAGATATATTGAATACATTGGCCATTCTTATATGCTAGCGAGTGCCATAAAGTGAAACATGCCACACCTTTCATTTTTTCTGGAACATCACTTTGCCTCTTTATTTATCGTTGAAATACGATCTTTTCCATCCCATGTGGCTATTCCTTCTGCAGTCAAGCACAATGTGATCAGTGTATCTTTATCATAACCATTGACTACACCAGCACTAAGATACTCTTGAAAGACAGGTTGCTTAGCACAGAAATTGCTGTCAGCGTAAAGCTTGAGTGATCAACAAACGCAGGAAATACTTTAAAGACTCATTGCCAACCAGGATACGTGATGCGGAATTGAACAAACAGTCACCATCTCCAGTCACCCTACAGGCAATAAATTTACTTTCTTCTCCAAATATTATGTCGTCTGGGATTAGTGTTTGACCAAGGTCATCATTGTTCAAAAATCCAGGATTTTCAATCGATTGCTTTTGTTTAACCCAACACGCCACTTTTTCATACTCGCTGAACAGCAACGAAACCAAAGGCATCATGCGGCCTCTTCTCATTAAACTCCTTCAGTTTCTATTGTGCAATTTACGGTACAAATGTCCAAATTGAACGGACTCGGAAAGACTCACCGAGAGCGTAAATTTGTCGTAGAACTTAAATTAAAACTTCGCTCGCTCTTTTACTACAAACAAATTGTTAAAGAAAATTCAGATATTAAATGAATGAAAGTTCCATCGTTTAGTTTAACTGTAACCAAATACATCACGTTTCAACTTTCTACGTACTTTTTGTGAACGGTTAAAATCAACTGCAGACGGTTTTTAAGCCGCTTGTCAACCAACGTAATTGACACTATTGCTTATATAAATTCATTCTGAAACCGATATTTTTCTGTCGACCAAAGTGATTTGAGACAGAGAAAACAGAGGATTCGTAAGTTATTTATTGGATTGAGGTAGTGACCGACGTGTTTGCTTAAAAATATTTCCCAGTCGGAAAAACGAGATATATTTATGAAAAATGGCAACGAAAGTTGGGATGTACTCGGCGACTCACGAAAGCGTTACCGTGGCCCGTGGGCAGAGATAGGAAAATACTGACCGGGTAAAGAACCAATCGGATTGCAGGATTCGTTACCTTGCCTTCTTAAAACAAATAAATGTTTAAAACACGTGACATCATTCACCCTTGTCAAATGTAATAGCATGATCATTTCAATTGTAGTGCCTTCTTATCCCAACGTTACTTTGTTTCGTTGCTTCATTAGCGAACAATGAACTACTGCTCGTACTCTAAATATGACAATCAACCACAAACCTCTCTAAACTAGGTAACATTAAACATAATCCAAAAAATCATTTGAGTCATCTGTCAATTCACGAGTTTGCTCACAGAGCACTTTGATTCGTTATCGGGGTTAATATAGGTCCGTTTATCCAGGGTACTGGATTCCTTCCCTTGAGTTTTTTCCTTGGGATTTAATTGGCCACACCCGCTAAGAAGTTTTCTTTTCAGCTATGCCAGTCCCTATCTTTGTCAAGGTCTCCAGTGGATATTGCATTGGACAAGTTTGTGGCTTGAAATGAAGAACGGAGCCCCTCGAAATCTCCTCTAGCGGTAATCATAGACAAAGCGCCGGAGTTTTGGTGGCACCTTAGCAGCAGAGGTAGCACCTTACCTTCGGGCGCACAGCATGTAATTGATTCAGAAGACCCTCAGGCCTGGGTTAATGCAATAAAGGAAGTCAGGGTAAAGGCAGTGTAAGTACGAAGAGAGGAATAAGAACAAGTCAGGAATGATTATGTTATCAACTCAGTTGATGATACTAAATTATCCTGTGTAATCAGAAGGTTGTGATGGAACATCTGTCATCAGAAAATTACATCAGTATTGGCACTGAGTATACTCAAATGAATTTACCAATACCAGATTTGATTGCAATAACCATAGTAATAGCATACATTCCCTTAGTAGGTATTTCCCAAAATGTAGGAAGTTGTTTCTAGAACTTCTCAGTGTTCATGTCAAAGATTGTAATGGTTAGGCGTCCAAAGATTGGAATTACAAGCTTTTCTTTTGATGAATACATATTTTTTCTTAGAAATTGTAATGGTAAGAGAAAGAGTTACTTAAATAGGACTATATGTTTATTAGTTTGGTCAGTTATCACACTCTCAATTGACTTATAACAAAAGTTTAATGAACCAAATCAATCCAGATAAATACACTGAGATAAAGCCCAACTTTAAATCTGGTAAGTGTCACACCGCAGGACTTTCTTGGGGTTATTGATATATAACTTTGGCTCACTAAACAGGAAGGGGAACTAAAAGGTGGCTAATCCAGCAAAACTTTGATGGTAAATATTTGAGAAAGTAATGTATGATTGAGATGACACTAAGTTTATGACAATGACCAAGGAAGCTAGTGCAAGTGTGTGTTAAAAAACTGGAATTCATAGTAAAAAACTCTCTATGCTGTTAAAACCCCATTGGTGAGGAAAGTTTTTTAAACCTGATTGAATCTTAAAATGGCCTTTTAAACTACAATTTAACATATTCATGCCCAATAGTTTTTCAGATCAAGATACTTTATTTATATTGAAATGGGTAAATGTTGGGTTGATTTCATCGTAAAATTTTACAGAACCCCTTATTCCATGATATGATTGACATGATGGCAAATTCCCTGACGCTTTGATGGGGCAAACATGCTTCTATGCTGTGACCTGATTGGCGCGAGATACATAACCTAATGTAACAATCTGACTGGTGCAAGCAACAAACCACTCTATACAGTGGCATCAAGATACTTCTTTTTATAAAAAAATAACCCAAATAACCCACGGGTGCTGTGAGCTACATAATAATCTGGCAGAGACATTGACATTAAGTGTTAAATGTGGGGAAACCTAATCGGAACATAATTGCACAAATCCAGCGATATCTACTTTGAATTAGCACAGACATGGAAGATAGTTAGTGTGAGGAGGCTAACAGAAATGAGGGGCATGACCGAAATGAAACAGTTGGTAACTAAACTGTTTTAAAACTTACAAAATAGTTATTGTGCCTTTCACAATTACCAATTCTCTTGGTCTGATTTACAAAATAGTTATTGTGCCCTTCACAATAACCAATTCTCCTCGTCTGATTTCTATTACTAATTTTCAACTACCTGCTAACCTGACAATGATTAATTTACCTAACATTTCCTCTTGATCTTGACTCTTGTGGAAAACTGATTAAAAGGGGGAAGTCCCTACTTCAAGTTTTTTTGGCAGGTTCAAGTTAGAATTTTCTGCGAGTGACCAGTTGTTTACAAAAGGTAAATAATTTAATTAATGACTGGCAAATCCTGGAAAGACCATTAATGTAAGGTTTTCTTCAATCTTAAGAGGGACGAAAGAGAGAGGAAAACAACAGAAGAGGAGGGCGAAGATGGCTATCCAGATGTTGTTTCACCAGCTGTACTCCAATGGAAACTTGTGATAGTGGTACTTTCCATCTTGGTTGTGATCTATCTGATATAACGCTGCACCTCCTTGTCTTAATTTTTATTTGAATAACACAGATAAAATTCCCGATGCGTTGTCATGATATTAGTGTTCTGTTCACAGCTGAGATTGTGTATTTAATTGGGATATACCAATCTGTCACCTTCCAAATCCACCTTCTCTTCACTTAAAAAACTTTCTGTGATATTAGTTTACTGTTTATGAGTGTACATCCATGTTTTTCATCAGTTCTACGAGTTTAGATTTTAACCATGGTCCTCTCTCTTGATCGGTTTTGGTTAAAATTTGGTAGGATATAAACTAAATTGATGAAACCAAGAGCTGAACAATGCTGCCAAAACTTTGAGAAACTAGCTTACCAATATTGGTCAACCAAAAATGTTTGAACCTATCAGCTGAAGGTTTTCTACCTTCATCATGTTCAAGCCGTGAGCGCTTGTCAGCAGTGCCGTACATTTACTAATAAGATCACTTTGACTGTTTTCAGTTAGTACGGGAGAAGATGAAGTTGATTCACGAATTCACAAACCAGGTAAGGAGTCCAAGTTTTGATTTAAGTTACGTAAAAGTTATGTTGTAAATAGACTCCTAGTTCAACTCAAGTAGTTAATTCAGCCATTACTATAAAAACATGTGGTCGGGAACAATATCGCACGTGATAAGTTACACGTTACGTAATTAACATGATAAGAGAAATCGTTACGCTACACAATAATCATACGAGATTAGATACTGTTACATCCCCCTTCTTTTAAACAAAACAAGTTATAAAGATTGTAAAAAGAATGATATGCATAACTAATGATAGTGTTCATGACTATCTATAACGGTAGTGTTCAACATAGTTCAAGCATTTCAGGGTCCAGTCTGTCTGGAGGTTTTGAAATGCGTCCAGATCTTGTTGTGTAAGCTTAACCGTCCTGAGGTGGTGTAACTGAGCCATCTTGCAATGCTGTTGTCTCAAGATTAGTTGCTGGTGGTTCTTTTAATTAATGCTGTTGTCCTTTACCTCGGGTCTTGGTTTCCACTGTGATTGAGTGCAACGGTAGACACCTTCTGTTCAGTCATTCTTAACGATGAAGGATCTTGGTTCCTTCGCAGGTCTGATAACTGTTCCTCATTCCCATCTCTGAGTGTAATGGTCATACATGTTAATTGGCTGACCTGGTTGAAGTGGTTGTAGTGTCGGTCCAGCAGTCTTGTTGTAGTAGAATGCTTGTAGCTTTTGTCGCTGGCACAGCTCTTCCTTTGCCTTATTGGTAGTGTCACTGACACTTACACGCTTGGACATTGGGCTCAATAATCTGAGTCGGTGATAGTCCGCACAGCTAGCTTTTGCAAAAAATAAAATTCTCTTCAAGTTAGATACATTTGTAGACGATCAGGCAGAGTTACAGTGGACGAGAAT